AAAACAAGTTCTGTGATTGTCTCAGCTGGCAATTAAAAGCCTAGAAAGAGAACCAGTCTCCAGGTAGTCTACATTTATGTATTCAAATAGATTTTTTTTTCCTAATAGAAGTAAGGTTGCATTATTTATTATTTCTCAAGCCACATGTGAAAGACATTTTTACAGAATTAAAATGAAAATTACATTTAATCCATACAGTGAAAAAAAACAAAGGAACTGCACCAGAAGATGAGTAATTGCTTCTTACATTACAGACAACTGTCTTTGCCTTTCCTCTGTTGGTGGAACTGCTGATTGTTGAGTTCTACTCTCAAGAAAACTTCTCTAAAAATATAAAGTTCCAAAAAAAAGCCTGACTGTAAGGATGACTGTTACAACAGCTTTTCCCTCCACACCTTAATGTGTGTTGATTTAAAATTTCTAACTAGTCATTTTGCTGGTATGGGATTTTTTTCCCTGCTAAACCAAGAGTACGAACCCACATCAATTATTATTCAATGTGGAAAATACTCTTAAAGGAAATCATAGAATATTATACTGCATATAAAGGTTAAAAAAACCCAAAATTATATTAAAAACATTAAATAGCAAATTATTGTAGCTAAAGAGAAAGCAACCAACTAGAGATAAATTCACAGAATTGCAATAAAGAACAAAGAGAACAAGCAGAGACAAAGCCTGTCAGCTCTATGTGAAAAAAAGCCAAGCACTGAGAGTACCTGGTTAGAGAACAAAAAAATTTAGAATTTAGAGAATAAAAAAGCTTGAGAACATCTTCCTAAACAAACCTGACAACTCAAACACAACAGACAAGATCAAAAGACTTTACTGGGATAAGAGGGAAGAATGGGTTAAAAATTAATTTAAAAAAAAAAGAACTGGAGTTTTTGGGGGACTACTAATTTGATGCCATAAATTATCTAATTTGTAAATTAAAATTAACAGAGATAAGAATACCATATACAAGTTATATCTATTTTGTGTTTTTTAAAGCTGGTATTGGTCCCATTTAGGGCTGGGTAGTGGAACTTTATTCACATAAATCAGTGACCTCTCTGATGCTATATTAGGCAAGACTTTAATTACTGTTTAACTTTTAAATACTTA